CAAGACGTGTCCATGGGTGTCGACCTGTACCATTTGGCCAACCCCCAGCTCCAGACACAACTTTGAAGGCAGCAAAGCAGACCCCCAAACCAGAGGATGTTCTGCCTGAAGGGGATGAGGATGAGGATGATGGTGTCAATGTGAACAAGGTCACCCGGCAATCCCATAAACGAACCTGCAGGAAGAAGACGTGGAGCCTTTCTGAGAAGAAGATGATTTCCCTCAGAAACTATATGGCCTCAATCAAATTGACTTGGCCAGTGTTCCTTTCCAAGCATACCAGGCAGGATGTGTTGGATAGTCAAGGATTTGTCAGACAATACAGAATTGAATTTTGTAGTGTTTATGGCCCTGCTCAGATTTTTGTAGTAGTCAATGGTTTGAACCTGGGACCAGCTTCCATGCAATTTTCTTGCTTGGAGTTGTCCATAGCCTCTGGATGCCTCTGGCAGGATGGCGCCAATGAAGAAGATCAACAAATGCCCGGACGGTGGGTACAAGGCCATGCAAATGAAGCTCCTGCAAGGGAACGAGGTGAAGTGTGCGGTCTGCAAGCAGCTGCTAGAAGAGCACAAGTTCGACCAGGCAGAGTTGGATTCCTACCTGCTCAACGGCATCCATGGAGAAATGCCAACTGTCTTTCCAGAAGATGCTAAGCCAGCAACTGCCGAAGAAGCTGCAGGAGAAGAAGGTGAACAAGGCCAGGGTGATGGGAAGGACAGAGATAGCAGAGAGGCAGCTCTGTCCCTTCTGAGAACAGTGGAACCCATGTTCAAATTGCTGCCAGCGGGCTCATATGGAAAGAAGGTTCCAATCCAATGCACTGTGTGCAAGAACAAAAAGTGGCCAGACGGCAAGGTCCTGGAGCTTACCTTTCTGAGGGACTACATGGTCAAGCACTTCATCAAGCAACACACTGGAAGCAGATTCCACCGTGACTCTCTGGCGAGGGAACGTGCACCATGCATTCAGGTTGATCGTGTTCCTTGCGAAGGGCTTGCTGTGGATGATGAGGAACAAGCCGGCCAACTGTGGATCTACAAGGAGCAGTTCGAGCTTTGGGCCAGCTATTGCAATTTCCAAGGCTGTGCCCAGCATGAGTACACCAAAGATGCTAACCAGAGTGCCTGGACTATTCGCAGTCACCAATGCCAGCAGCAAACGGATCTCAGGCCCAATGTGGGTCGTCAAGTCTGCCCCTCTTGCTTGGACCTTGGCAAAGGCCATTCAGTGTCTTGGACCTTTATATGAAAGCTGTAGTGTCAGAGTGGTTGTTGTTGTGCTTCATTCTCCCTTATCCATCCTTATCCATCCTTATTCCAATTTTCAGGTGCAGATTCTTTACACAGTAACATCTTAAGTTGATTTCAAATTAGTTTCAAATGACTTCCCGATGCTGGTTTTGAATTTTGTAGAACCAGACTGGTGTGTATGGCATTTTGTAGTGTTATTTTATTTGACTCAGGTCACCAGGAATGCCTTGCGCTTTGCCAGAAAGTACTACGGAGCACAGCTACTGTCTTGTCGTCTCTATCAGTCTGACAATGATGTTTCTGACGCCCTTGCCAACATCAGAGAGACGGCCATGTACAAGAATGGAGACTCGAAGCTTACGGAGATCGTGAAACTCCCAACAGGACAGCTGCAGCAATGGGTGCGGGCTTCCTTTATGTGCGATGCAAAATGCGGGCCAGAGCTGAGGCGGTACATTGCAACCACAGTGAAGCCGGCGCTGGCCTGCAGCGTTTCATCGATCCCTGAATCCATGGTGGCAGTCATGGGCCGCTTCACGGCCATTGTTGCTGGAGCTGAAGCAAGTGAGGAGGATTGTGTCAACCTCCGCATCGCTTCGGCTGCTCTTTCCGGCGAACTCAGCCAGCATCCCTTGATTCAAGGCCTTGTTTTACAATGCCGAAGGATGGTCGATAAGGCCAACCGTGGCATTGACACGATGCAAGGACGAAGAAGTCGTGAAAGCGACAGGGAAAAGGCCTTAGTGGCCGACGCAGGGCTGACACTGGCTTTACACGCCGGCAATGCCTCGTTGGCAAAAGAGTTCGGATTGGCTGCCAGCTTCTGCCGCATCGATGTCGACATGCTGAAGCAGCAAAGCTTACCCACACCAGCTTTACCTATCCTGTGGCCGGACATCATGAAGGAGAATTGGACACTTGCTGAGCAACGATTTCCACGGCGTCCTGATTTTCCAAAGCGTTTCTTGGATTAAACTCCAGGAAATGATAAGGAGCCTTGAAGTTTGTAGTCCTTTGACCATGGGCATGAATTTTTATAGTTCCAATATGTTTCAATAGCTTCAGGGCTGATGCTGTGGAACAGTCAGGTCGGTTGCTAGTTGCGTTTGACGCAACCTACATCACTTCTCAAGTTTGCCAAATGCAACTGCATGGATCCAGAGCACTAGTTGGGGGCCAGTGGTCAGAGGACACTCCAGATTCTGCATGGTTATCCTTGGATGAAGAGCAAGATATCAGCAAGATCGTGAAAGCTCGAACCATTGTGGAGGTGCTTGCATGGGATCCATCCCTCAAGAACAAGCTGCCCATGTCCATGTGTTCTGTCCCCGTGCAAGAGAATTTTGGTGGATCAGGAGCAATGTATCGATCCTGCTGGTACATGCTCTCATTGATGGGGCAGGTGCTGAAGGACAACAGTGACTTGGTGAAGGGTCTGATTTTCGATGGTCATGGGTCGCACGTGATGATCAAGAAGATACTTCACGGGCAAACAGGGGGGATCGACCTCGAAGCGCTGCAGCAAGTGCCATTTTTTGGTGAGCTGAGTCACGAGGCAGTGGCCTCTGGTTTGCCACGCTTTCCCATTGCCATCACGAAGTACCAGGGCTCTGTCATATGGGGCCTTTGCGGTGTCTGTCACTTGCACCGGGTTGCTTTATTTTTTTTTCTGATTTTCTATGGTGGCAGATTTAGAGGCAAAATCATGTTGATTAGTTTTTGTAGAGAAACATGTTGGGAACTGCTCTTTACAGCAATGGCCAGATTTCCATCCAGGCCACGCCAACAAGAACACAGCAGGGCAGGCTTGCTCGTGGATCAGAACCATCTTCTGGGGGAACCTGTGGACGGACTACACCATGGCCCGTCAGTTCGGCATGCCGCCATCGGTCCTAGGGAGGGAGTCGCCCATGTCTGACCGACTCCACGCGATGTTCAGCAATCCCTGGTATTTAGTTGCTGACTCTGATACTTGGAAATGTTTGTGCAAAATAAATGTCAATGAAATAGCCCCGGGGATTTTTCTTGGTTCACAACACAAGCCCTGCCTACAAAATTACTTTTTGTAGACCCGAGCTGGTGGGCTCTGAATTTTGTAGTGACATTCAGGATGGGCCCATGCAAGAGCTCAAGGTGCCATGGGCGCTACGAGGTGCTCTCATGCACAACCTCGTAGTGCCTGATCCTGGTGGATATCTGGGTATCTGCTTTTCTTTTTTTTAAAGCTGTGTGCCATTGTTTACCTGTCAGGTTCCTATTGCATTCAAATATATATATATATAGAATATAGATATACATATGTATATATATACATATATATATACACATATGAACACACATCTCTATATAATATATATTATACTTCATGTATATGTTTTTTTGGGGGCATTTGTATGCATTTGTGGGACACCTTGGGTGCCCAGGTAGCGCTCAACTTGGCGCCACTCCTTCATCGAACATTCCCGCTGGCACTGCGGGCAGAAGTTGGAGTATCAGGGTTTGTAGCCCTGGATCTCTTCCGCATGTTGGCAGAGGACCAATGTAGGAAAATGAAAGCCCCTACAGGATCCACCTTTTGGGCTGCACAAACTGTTGTGAACATGCAGAGCTGCTGCTTGGCAGGGATCCTTGTCACCATCACCAAAGACGAGGCTTTTAGCCCATGGAGAGCAGGCTCAGCAAGGATGTCAGAGATCAGTATCGAGGAACAATTCTCTTTCCTCCGTCGCCAGAGTGCAAATGCTCAATTGACTTGCCGATCATTTTGGCAGGCAGCCGCGAGGGTTGCAATTTCAACGGGCAGAAAGCTCAACAAAGAGCAGCCAGCTCCGGTCCAAGGCGAGAAGCCTTTGGGAATGGAAGAGTTTCTTTTAGACATTAACACATTTTTGTAGTGAAGATCGAACTGCCATACAGTTTGTAGATGTTTGTAGCATTTCTTTTGATCGAGGAGTTGAATCAAAACATATACCCATTGTTCAGAACTTGAAGGTTTGAACTTTGTAGTGATCCTGCTTGGTATCAAATATTGTAGTGACCTGGTTTCTTATTTCTGTGGGGATCGAACATTCTCTGCCTTGAAATGCTTGCCTTTACCTCTTGTGCCCAGGTTCCAAGACTGTTGCCAGAAAGGCTTCAAGGCAGCCTTGAGTCTTGCAGCGCTGTGCTCTGGACACACAGAAAAGCAGCTTGAAGCTTCTTACCGGAAGTACTGTGCTGAAGGAGGTCTTGAAGGCACAGATGAAACAATGGAAGTTGAAGAGGAAGTTTTTGACAAACTTGGAGAAGAACATGAGGAGGAAAACGAGTGCATGAAAGTTCTTCACGCTGTTACGCAGGAAACCATCTTCGTTGACCCAGATGAGGATCCAGAAGGTGACCAAAGTCAGATCACATCTGATCCAACTGAGTTGAACTTCAAGCGAGTGATGGAGAAGGCTGACAAGGAGAATTGGGATCAGTTGCTGGGGGCCGGTGCAGTGGAGTCCTCAGCTCAATCCTCAGAGAAGAAGCAGCGAAACCCCACCACCTTGGGAGAAGTCTTTGTGAGGCCAGGGTGCGTCTGGAATTCTCTTTGGCGACTGGCTGTGCAGCTTCGAACTGAACCCGGTGGAGTTGATACCAGATGGTTAGCCAACGCAAAGAACGTGCGACGTTGCTCGCAAGGCCTGAATTGGCACCAGCCGCTAAGAGGAACTTAGGATTTTTTGTGATCTATTGTTTTTATTTGTTTTTTATTTTCTGAAGGACAGGACATATTTGGATTTTGTAGTGGAAATAGGTTGCACAAAACTTTGTAGCAATGTGATTTCCTCTTGCAACCGCCAGCTCAGGTGGAATGAGATGCGTCTCAAGCAGATTCAGCAGGAAGCAGAAAGTTCCCAGTACAAGGCCAGAACCACGCGGCTGGCGAAGTGGCGGGAGCTTGTGGTGGTAGCTCAGAGAGAGTTAGAGTTACCTCCTTCTGCCCCAGAAAAGCTCATGTTGCTTGACAATGCTTGACATTGCTTTTGGTTTTGCCAATGCATATTTTTGCATTTGTCAATTGTCCTTGCCATGATGGTCTTGGATGGTTTTGACATTTGTCTTCTTTTCTCCCATTGTCCAGCAGAGATGGCTTTTGTAGTTGCCAACCCTGTGCTTCAATTTTATAGACCGATTTCTGGGAAGCCCGAGGCCTGGTCACATTGTTCTTTTCCAGCTCCCAGAGAGCCAAGCTCATTCCGGTGTCGAGCTGGGCATGGTGCTTTCCATATTCAAGGGCATCAAGGCCCCCAAGGTCTTCAGCGGAGAGGCAAGTGTGAACTCCATCATGGCGTTCCGAGCTGTGGGCTTGGACATGGTGGACCAAGAGAACAGCTGCGATTGGTTTTGCAGTGCAACCTCAGCTGCCTGGACCGTTCGTTTGGAGTCACTGGTGGCAGTTCTGGATTGCGAACAATGCGCCTTGGCGGCCGCCTACCAAATTTCAGCCTAATTTAAGGTTTGGAAATAGCAATCTGAAACAGGGTCTGAAAAAGTAAAAGTGCAAAACTTCGGTTTTTGTAGCGAAAATCCTTGGGGTGACATTTTGTAGCAGGTGTGCAGCCTGAAGACGGTGATGGCCAAGTCAAGATTCGTCTCACAGCAGCATCCAGTGAAGTCTTGGAAAAGGTGCCAGGACTTCAAAGGTGGCGTGTGTCCCCTCCTATGACCAGGGGATCCAAAATCCCGGGAGCTGCGCCTGCTCCAAAACCCAAACCGAAGGCCAAGGGCAAGATCGTGCAAGGAAAGATTTTGAAGCCCAAGCAGAAGCCAACAATTCCCACAAGCGAACCGAATGATTCCATGATTCGCCGCACGAAGCAAGGCCAGGAAACGATCAGGGGCCTTATGAAGGAAATCTTGGACATTGATGAGCAAATGCACCCTGAAGCTCCAGCCTTCGATTGGAAGGACAAGGGAAGCTGCCGTTGTAAGTTTGAGAATTCTCATTTGATCACCTGGCAGATGATTCTGGACTCTTCTCCAGCGGCATTTGAGTCGATGCACCTTTGTCTTTGCAAAGAGGCAAACTGAATTTTGTAGTGAACAGATGTTGGCCCCAATCAAATATAGTCCAAATATGTCACGATGTATCATTGTCACATTTGTTCATTGTCGCATTATCTTTTTGCGGGGGGCATGAGGTTCTGCAGCCAGTTTCTTTTTTGTTGTCACTTGACATTTCTGAGTTCCTCAGGTACAAGCATGCAACTCCCACGTACTATGGAAGAAAGGTGTTCAAGCATCTGACTTCAGTACGCGAGTCCCTGAAGGATGAAAAGCGAAAGCCATGGCTGCGATTGGTGAAAGATATCGCCGATGTTTGCAGAACTGCTGGCACAAAGTGCAAAAATTAGGTCACAATGCAAGAATCTTTGCAACACAGCAAGCAACCAGAGGCAAACATATAGCAATATCATTCTATTGTGATTTCAGTTCAGTGTGTTTAAGAACCAGACATATCAGGGCACCCTTCCACTTGGTCTGTTTGAATCGCTGCTTGCTTTTTTCCATATGACTAATTAGAGCGTAGGATAGCGTAGGTATGTCAATGGAGTTTCACAAATCCATAGAAAGCTGGCGAGTTGTAGTGATTAGCGCTGCAATGTTGGTGTGCAGCGCTCCTCTTGGGCCACGGTTTAGGGTCACTACAACATGCAGTGCGAAGAGAAAAAAAACGTTGCAGATGAGTCCTTTAGCTCTGCTGAGCTCCTTGAGAAGGCAATGGAGAGAGAGAGAGAGAGATGAATCAGTGGATGTCAGTGGTGTATACAAAAAAATCACTACAAACATCTTTGTCATTTTTTGGGACTGATCTTGAAGACTTCAGTGGGATCTACTTAAAAGTCACTACAAACATCTACGTGATTTTTGAAGGGTCTCTTGAAGACCTCTTGTCAGATCCTTTGGATTTTGTAGTGAGCTTTTATCCAGGCTGGGATGGCCTTTTTGTAGTAATTTTTTTTTGGCCTGGGCATGGAAATCGTAGTGATTGGGGTTGGGCATAGCAAGTTTACAGCTACAAAATCTGGACCCAACAGCCCCCCCCAAATACCAACCTCGATATTAATTATATTTCATTAGTTGGACAACAATCCCCATGAAGTTTGCTTAAATCTCATGTTACTTGTTGTGAATTCCCATAGAATCCAATTAAATTTCATGAAATCACCCTTAAATCCCATTAGATCACCATTAAATCCCATTAAATGACAACTAATTCCCATTAAATCCCATGAAATCCTATCACTTCCCCGTGACATCTCATCTTTCGTCACCTCCGTTAAGTCACCAGTAATTCCCATGAAATCCCCATGAAATCCCCATGAAATCCCCATGAAATCCTGAAATGATGGTTGAATGATTAAGTAATCAACCATCATTTGTATAAATTCCCCATGAAAAGCCAAAAAGGTCCTGCGTGACATGATCCTACACGACGTGGCGCCGGACGCCGCGTGCTACGCTCCGCTGATCCGCACGCAGCTGAGAAAAGGCGACCTGGAAAGCGGCGTGCAGCTGCTATCGCAGATGCAGCGGCAGCAGATTGAACCCGACTCGGCCACCTTTCAGGTGGGGGTAGTTACCCTATGGATGTTGGATGGGGATATCATTCTGTAATAGGGAAATAAAGGATTCAATAGGGACATTTATTGGATCAACATGGATAGTCACCATCATGGCATTGGATAGTTACCCAATGTCAACCGCGGATTAATAAACCCTGGTTGATTAAAATTATAAGTGTGGTGGTTCCCACAAATAGTGATAAATAGCTACTGAAATGGTACACCCCCAATTAAACAGCCTAGGGGTTTATTAATCCGGGGTAGTTACCTATGGATGTTGGATGGGGATATCATTCTGTAATAGGGAAATAAAGGATTCAATAGGGAAATTGATTGGATCAACATGGATAGTCACCATCATGGGATTGGATAGCTACCTATATACTATGAAATTACTTATATGACTGGAGGAATAACAATCCAACTATACCAGCTATTTTTGGGCACCTATGAAAATTACATGAAATGACTGGTGGGTCAGTGAAAATTACTATGAAGTGACTGGAGGAATAACCCATCCAGTATTCTTTTTTTTAAGGGACATAAAGCATCAACATGGATAAATTGTCATGGGATTAGAAGTGTTTTAATGGGGAAATCATCGACCAATGGGAATGTGAAGAAAATATCATGAATGAGATTAATGGGCTGCAGATATAATGATAGGATATAATCGGCTGAAAATAGGCCCAGGAATCGGGGAAAACAGTGCGGGGCTCCCAAGAATCGCTAAGTCGGTTTACAACTACAAGGGTTTATTGGGGATATATCATTGGTATATGATATCTATATATATATATATTAGTTGGAGTTATAAACCAACTTATAAACCGGGGGTGCCCCACCATGGATGGACGTTTCTGTTGTTGGTAAATATCCCCATGTTGCCCACTGGAGCATCAATTTCGGAATCCTCGAAACTGGCGAACGCAAACTGGGGTTATAACTCACTTATGTGTGGGATAACCCCAGACCTACTAACCACAAGGTGGTGCCCCATAGTTAGCTAAGTTGGTGAACATAATTCCAATTTCACTATGGTTTTTGGTAGATATATCTATACTTTCTATATATAATTATATAGTAAATATATCTATACTTAACTATGGTTTACAAACCAACAAACATAACCAGAATTGTTAATCAAAATGCTTATCACTTTCGATGGGACCCTTCAGGTAGGTCCTCCGTGAAATGAAAGTGGTTGATAATCAGACATCAAAACAATCGAGTGGGGATCTTCCATGGCCCATATATGTTTATAATTTTTTATAAATATATACGCCATATATACCATATATACCATATATATACCATATATACCATATGTACCATATATACCATATGTACCATATATATATACTCTGTTTGGTGGTTTGGAACATGAATTTTATTTTTCCATACATTGGGAATAATAATCCCAACTGACTAATATTGTTCAGAGGGGTTGAAACCACCAACCAGTATATATATTTTGGTTTGTAGAAGGATTTTCTAAGGATTATATGTTTATTGCTACATATGACATATAATCCAGGGATCTTTCATCAATCTAAGTGGGTTTTTGTTCACCCATTCAGCCAGGCAGTCCTTGAAGTGGCTGCCCAACGTGAACTGCCCATCTTAGTGCAAGAACTCTTGCAGTCGATGGAGCACTGGAAGGTTCGCTGGGTCATAGTGAAATGGCTTACCTGCTTGAAATCATGGCTGGGAAATCCGGGTTTCTTACACCTTCCGTAATCCATGGCTGACTGGAAAATTCCACCAACAAACATAACTGGGGGGCACCAGCTTGTATCGTATTTATCCAGAGTGGTGGATGGTTTTGTGACTGCAAAGCTCGTCAACAAAATCCTTGTTGGTTGATGATAGGGCTTCTACTATCCAGTATTTCATGGGATTATCAGGTCATTAACCGGGAATGAATATTCACCAACCATCAAGATTTTGAAGATGGCGAGTACATAAATTTGTTACTTCATGGATGTATATGTTTGGTGTGCTTGATGTTGATACATACATGTGTATATGTGTGGATAATGTTGGTTGACGGATTATATTGTTTCCGTGTGTGCGACTTGTGTGAATAGACGGAAAGGTAAAATGTTGTGTGACTTGTTTATATATATATAGATACATACGTGCATGTCTATGGTGTTCTTCAACAAACGATATCTACATATATATATATATATATATATTTACACTGTATATATATATATATGTATATATGATATATGTGTGCACATACACTGTATATATATTGACACACAAATTCGTATGTATTTGTACATATATATATATATATGTATTTAGTTGGACCACGGCCTTTAGAAGGCCGTGGTGTTTTGTACACATCGGGGGGGTGGGGTGGGGTGCGGCATGTAATAACGTTCATGTGAACTTGCGGGGAAGGACATGCTTGTCTGGGGGCTGCCGGTAGGTGCATGTATGCACGGGTGGGGTGGGGTGGGGTGGGGCATGTAATAACTTTCATGTGAACTTGCGGAGGAAGGACACGCTTCTCTGTGGCTGCCGGTAGGTGCATGTATGCACGGGTGGGGTGGGGTGGGGTGGGGTGGGGCATGTAATAACGTTCATGTGAACTTGCGGAGGAAGGACATGCTTCTCTGTAAGTTCTCTGGAACTTTCCACTCATGCGTCATGCCACGCTATGTAAGTTCTCTGGAACTTTCCACTCATACGTCATGCTACGTTACTGTAAGTTCTCTGGAACTTTCCACTCATGCGTCATGCCACGCTATTGTAAGTTCTCTGGAACTTTCCACTCATACGTCATGCTACGTTACTGTAAGTTCTCTGGAACTTTCCACTCATGCGTCATGCCACGCTATGTAAGTTCTCTGGAACTTTCCATGTGTTCATGTGGTGTTGGCGTTGTACCTTAAACAATCTAGATCCGCAAAGGTTCTTGGAAGAACTCGAAGCGTTGCTGTGACCAACACAGGAATCAAAACATGTCAGGTTGAATATTTTGAGAATTCTCACAAACCCCAAAAAAGGTAGTTTCGTCTAGGCGAAATGCTTGTTTTTGAAAATATGCACCAGAATAAGGGTTTAACGGCCTTAAAAACCACATCAAAACATGTCAGGTCGAATTAGTTTGGGAATTCTCAAAAACATCAAAAATTGTAGTTTCGTCTAGGCGAAATGCCTGTTTTTGAAAATATGCACCAGAATAAGGGGTTAACGGCCTTAAACATCACATCAAACAAAATCCTATTGGCAAGAGCACATCAAGAATCATCCATGACACACCGTTGATCACAAAAAACCCATGGCCTTCTAAAGGCCGTGTTCCTAGTTATATGGACATAGATAATCTATAATGTAAACGACATTTTGACATTTGAAGAACTACTTGGCGGTCACAAAAAAAAGGTCATGTCATTTGATGCTCAAAAGTTCACCCCAGTGGAGATGAGCGGATGAACCCTCCAATTTCCTATGTAAATAACTCCGGTGAAGAAATCCACTACCTGGTGGGTGGTGAATGGAACCATGGAATTTTATGACTTTCCATTCAGTTGGAACATTTCATCATCCCAACTGAATAATATAAATCCACCAAGTAATTAACGATCAAACTGAATGATCAAAATGTAGTGCAGATTATCCACTTAATGATCAAAATGAACAAATCCAATACTGAGTGGGATGAGCCACCAAGTAATCCCATATGCTCCATGTATGGCATATTTACCTACATTTACCCGAAAAATCACCCACATGTAAGTAAATAATTCCATACATGGAGCATATGGGAATGATCAACATGTTGTAAATCGAATGCCGTGAACCTACCGGGGATGGCTTTTACCCCTGATTTAAGCTTAAAAAAAGGCCAGAGTTGAACAAATCCCTAACGGTTGCAGATACCATCTTGTTATTGAACATAGCCATGGAAAATCACCATGTTTAATAGGTAAACCGTCTATAAATGGGCCATTTTCCATGGCTATCTTAAATAACAAGAGGGTAAAAGCAATGCTTCTCATTGTCACCTCCTGTTCAAAACCCTTGCTGGGCGATGGTTCTCCGTATTTGGACGGTAAACACCAACCTATTAAATACGCCAGGCTAAACTAATATAGATGTGGAAAACCAATGGTTTCCTGTTCGGATAAATGATCTACAATCATGGTGGGTAAACTCCACATTTTGTGTAAACGTTTTTCCTGGCAACGACCAATCCATGGGGATGAAGATCCAGCTATACCAAGCTGTTTTCCTGCCAGTGGGTTGGTTTTGCTTAACCGCTAGGATCATCCCCATAAGTATAGTTTCTTAACCCTGCTTCGTACGTCCCCAATTGCGTTTGGGTTATCCAATACATTCCCATACATAACTGGCTTATACATCCCACTTAGTCGTGGTTGGTTAGTTCACCCCAGTTTTTTCATTGGATTAACATGGATTAACCCAACACAAAAATCCCATATTTTCCCATCGATTTTCCATGTTTCATGGTTTATCACTGGGGAAAAAAAAGCCCAGTGACCGCCAAACAACGATGACGGGCCCAACCCCCAAGCCTCTAAGGTGGTCTCGAGCAGCACCTTGGCAACCTTGGTCCGCTTCTACGGGCGCAGCGGTGATATCGGGAAGGCCTTCCAGATCTTTCGAGAGATGCCCAGGAAGTTTCTTGGCGTCGTTTTTCCAAAGGCTTTCAAAGGGGGTTTTTAATAGGGTTTTAGGCGGCTTGAAACATGAAAAATTGTGTTTTTTTGGGTTGAACCATCAAAAATTTGTGATTTTATGGTGATTTAATCAAGAAAAATGCAGATTTAATGGGGGTTAAGCAACAAAAACTTTTATTTCATCGGATTTGAACCAGCAAAAGTTGCGATTCAACTCATGGGATATATAATGGGATATAATTATAGCTGATACAACTACGGGATATATCATCAGATGGGATGGTTTATGGGATATAACTAGTGATGTAAAATTGGTCACAATAGTGATTTATAGGAGGGTTAACCATGGAAATTGCTGATTTGACGGGATACAATAGAATATAAAGGGCATATCAATGGAATATGAATGGGATAGTAGTGGGATATAATGGAACAACCTTTCCTTGATTTGCTGTGTCGATGATTTTTTGTTTATTTCCCCAAATTCGATATCTATGATCCATACAGTTATGGTCATTTACCATTAATAAGTACTTATAACCCATTTATGGAATACAATCCCATTTATAACCAGTTATAACCATTTATAATGGGTAAACGGCCATAATTGTAGGGAATCGATTTTTCGGGAATTTCTGCTTATTGTTGGGAGGTTCCAGATCAGCAAATCCAGGGTTTTCGATGAAAATGGGGCAGTGGCTGCGAGGACCAACAGTGGCCGCAACTGTTATGTAAGTTGGTTTATAGAGCCATAAACAATTGTTAATTTCATGGGCTTTATAAACTAAGTTGGTCTATATATATTTAACTCCAATAACTATGGTTAAATAGAATCATAAACCAAAGTTATTGGAGTTATGTTCGCCAACTTAGCTATCGAACGGGGGGCCCGCATTGAATTTTATGTTAATGGCATTAATTTGCCATTAACATAAAATTCAATGCGGGGCCCCCGTTCGATAGCTAAGTTGGCGAACATAACTCCAATAACTTTGGTTTATGATTCTATTTAATATGAATCCCTATGGTATACATTGCTATGTGTTGTCCCCATGTTATTGGTTGATGAATTATGTTCAAAGGGTAAGGCCAGGTCAGGTGCATGCTTGCAGTATCATCCAAGTCAATGCAACTGGTTAGTGAGCCTGGACATTGCAAGTCCCTGATTCCTAGGATTATTCCATTTACAAGTGCACTATAACCCCACTTACTGTGTGATGATCCTGCATGGTGTGAATGATACTGTAAAGGGATGGAGATCTATAGTTTGGAGATCTCCAGGATAGATATGTGATATAGAGTTGTTCATTATATTTATTGATTATGATGCCCATATGCTCCATGGTGCTGGAATATTTACCTACATTTACCCCAAAAATTGCCCAAATGTAGGTAAATATTCCATACATGGAGCATCTGGGATGTGGAAAGATTGCAATTTCTAGTCTAGTTGCCCATGGTTTACTTGATTAGAAGGAAGTCTGCCAAAGGATCTAGGTACCATGACCCCCACCCAAAAGTGCCCAGCTGAAAAACTGAATATCCTCTGGCAATCAAACATGGCGTGTTGGAGAATCCCCCATTTAGATCCATTTAGTTCGATGATTTTCCCAGATATAAACATCCATTTAGTTCGGGTGTTTGCCCATATTTCCCCATGATTGTCCTTTGACTTTTCCAGCTATAAACCTTCATTTATAATGTGTTTTCCATTGCTTACCCATGATTTCCCATTTACCTCGGGAATTTTCCCGCCAGCCATGTTTGATACGGGTTTTGTAATCCGCTTTTCGGATGAAGGTGATGAGCGTTTTATTGCAAAGTTCGATAGCTGGTATTTGGTTTACTTCACTACAACAACTGTTGGGTTTATGGTGATATATGTGTAGCTAGATGCGGTTACAAGCCAACTTATAACGTTTGGATGCCCACTATGTGGGAGTCTCGCAAATCCAGTCACGAGTCGAACATCCCAGTCGAACCTTATGGGCCTTGTGGGTTGGGCAAAGATACCCCCTGAGTGGCCTGAGTGACGCAAAACCTGCTGCCTGTAACCAATTATGATGATTATAAGCGATGTTTTTTTAATAATGATGATTATATCATAACCAATTATAACCAATTATGATGATTATATCATAACCGCAAAACCTGCTGAATACCGCTCAACATAGGGATAACTAATGATACCTACGAACCAGCCGGTTTTTTATTGCGATCTGGGATGTTCCAGTGGTAGAATTACAATGCCAGAAATGCATGGCAATTTGTGTGGGAGATGTATGGGAAAACTACCGAATTGTCGACAGGTTTGGCTTCAAAGTTGACTCCAGTGCCTACATTAGCATGCTTTGTGTATGTGCTGCGGAGGGTGAGATCAGTGATGCCTTCCAGATCTATGAAGAGATGTTGGCTGCGGGTTATGAAACGGAGCCTTAGCTTTGCTTCAGCCTTGTGATATCGATGCATAGGAAGCTGAATTGACGAGATGTACCAAATTATGGTGGATTAGCCTTTTCAATGTTGAGATAATATCATGATAGGACATAATATGATGTAATTAGGGATGTAAAAAACAAAAACAAAGAAGTGTGATCTCATGTGGTATATATATAATTTTATATATATAGTTGGTAATATGATATGTGGGTTTGTATGTTGGGGTACCCTATTTCCAGACAAACGCACACGCGCGTTTTGTTCTTTCTACTTGATGTTTGCATTGAAAACAAAGAGAAAGACATTCCAGATAAATCCCTGCCGTAGACAATGAATCCTCAATCATAATTCCCTCAGACATCTCTGAATTGTCCAAAATCGCGACCTCAATCATTTCCAGCAATTGGATTTTATGTATGACTGTTCTCCAATCAATCCAAACAAGGCCCCCACATATGAAACATTGATTTCTTCATTTCTTGAGTTCTCAAAATTATTCAATTTAAAGACACCATACTGGTTGGTGGTTGGTCTTTGGAACATGAATTTTATTTTTCCATTCATTTGGGAATTTCATCATCCCAACTGACTTTCACTCCATGATTTTTTCAGAGGGGTAGGAAAAAACCACCAACCAGAGGGTATCCCATATAAATCACCATTAAATCCCATTATAAACCCCATTAATCACCATAAAATCCTATTAAAGATCCATGATTTTTCCATATCTTTCTGTTGCCTCAGCGGGTCCATATAAACCCCATTAAACCCTCTGGTGTCATCCAACATGGCTGGAAAATCCATCATCTAATTGCGGATGATTGTCCTTTCGGGCGAGCGAAATCTTCATGATCCTCCATGGCTCGTTGGGGTTCCAGCCAGGTTTGCTGTATACGTTGTTGATGAGTTCCGTCCCATGAAATCTCATGAAATCCAAAAAAATATCCCACTGAATCACCACAAATCCAAGTATCATATATATATATGTATATTAATTTCTGAATGTCTTGAGTTCTCAGAACACCAGATGTTTATGATATGTCATGTGATTTCATGATAGATGATATATATATATATATGATATATACTTGCTTGTTTGATCAGCCAAGGACACCTCCTGTTTCAAGGCCTTACTCAGCGGTTCCCTGCAGCATGGCGACCTGGACACGGCGTTTCGCTTGCTCCGTGACGCCTTCGACCGCGGACAGAGCGCGGTGCCCTTGGCGTCGCTGGAGCTCTTCCTGCTGCAGGCGCAACGGCGTGGACGGAAGATGTTGGCCGAGTCCATCTTGGAGGACGAGTCCGAAAGATGGGACTGGGATGACTAAGTAATTGGATGGCTGGTTGGTGGTTTGGAACATGAATTTAAGGCTTTCCAGAAAAATTGGGAATTTCATCATCCCAACTGACTTTCACAGTTTTTAGTGGATTTACCCATTAAAAATTGTGATTTTCCATAGTTATGTTAGTTTACCAGAGGGTGTATATATATATATGTGTGTGTGTTATGATATATATATATATATATATATGGTAACTATATAGAGGGATTTATATATATATATGCACTTATTTGATATTAGTAGATGCAATTATATGCTGTACCATATGTTATGATATGATAAACGTTAATACATAGTAAAAACATACAAATAACGCATATATACCACCACCTTGAAAACTTTACCTGTTTTGATGTATACTTAAGTTTTGCGATGATACGTGAACATTGAATTTTTTCGTGTGTATGAGGTTTATGCAAATAAATGGATTTGCATGAGGGACATGGAAAACCATTTTTTGTTATGTCCACAAATTTATTTTGATATGTGAGCACAGGATTGTTTCATAGACACGATGCCTTTGCGAAATACGTTGAGAAGCACATTGAAGACGAACACGTTTGGTTATATATATGGCATCCCGTTTTTAGATATACAACACCACTTTAGGAGGTGGTAACATATATATATATTCACACATACACATATATACATATATATGCACATATGTTTATATTTACACATATATATGTATATACATACATATATATACACATATATATATATACATACATACATACATACATACATACATACATACATACACACATACATACATACAAACATACATACAAACATACATACAAACATACATACAAACACACATATATATATACACACATATATATACACATTTAGATATACATATATACAATATTAATATTACTATCATTCTTAGTATCCTTCTTACTAGTGTCATTATTGTTCCTTCTGTTGTTTTTTAGTATTCTTAATGTTATATACTGTACACTATAAATTTTACACTATACGAGAATTACTGTTAATATTACTGTACACTATATTACTATTGTTATACACTACTACTATACAATAATTACTATACAATTGTTATAAGGCCTTTTTGAAAAAGATGGCTATGACCGGCGTGAGGACGCCTTGAAGGCTGGTCTCTTCGTGTCGGAGCGCATGGTGAATAGCTTGCGATGTCGGGCCTGATTTTTCGAAAGAAAAATCGGGTGATTTCCATGGCTTTTCACAATGAAAAATGGTGATTTATTCGGTTAGAATGGAATTTGTTCATGGTTAAAATGGTTATATGGGATATTAATAGGATCTAATAGGGAAATATCAAATCCTATGGTGATTTTCATGGGAAATGTCTGGCATTCATGGGATATCCTGAAATCTTTCGCGAGAATATGGATGAAGAACTAGTTGACTCGGAATGATTTCAATTGGTAAGGGACGATTTTGTGGAGATTAGTTTTAAAAAGGCACATGAACCACGAACATCTTTCCCAAGGCCACCATTTTGATGTCGCGAGATTTTTCGATGTTTCACCCGCCTGCCGGAGCCAAAAGCGGCACGCCCAAAGTTTCCAAACTCAGATGGATGGAGATGTTGTTTTTTTTGAGTAATGTCCATTACAGCAAATAATCTTGGTGGGATTATCATTTTAATGGGAAAATCAACTATTTCTATGGCCATTTTCAATAGCTAGGTTAAATTACCGGAGAGTAAAATTGGTGGGATTCCAACCATCAAAATATGGTTGGTTATTTATTGTTTGACTATATAAGATGTTTTTTTGAAAACATGGGGAAAAAGGATAAAACAATCCCGTTGAAGCCCCCCAAATGCTGAAGTTGAGACTTTAGTCCATGGCGTGGATCGTCTTCGGTAGCGTTTGTTGGTGTTTGTCCAGGCTACAGTTTTTTTTCCACTGGACAGTAGTCATCCGACAGACATTCTGAGCATCCATGGAGGCTTCCCAATCCAAAACAGTGTTCATTAAAGCCTCGCAAGGCTACAAATGCGTGTTGTTTCATGGTTTTTCTCCTTGAAATGAAGAATTCCCTGTGATTTGTTTTATGTTGTTTTTCATCATGTATGTATTTGTATGTATTTGTATGTATTTGTATGTATTTGTATGTATTTGTCGTTGGCTGACATATATGATCCAGCAGTTCCTTCATGCAGTGGTAAACCCAAACAGGTGATACTGAAAGAGGAGGTCCTGGAAATGACATATGTTAAACGACAGTTAGATACCCGAAAAAAAGGGTTTCCTCCCAAAAACACCAAAAAAAATACGAGTGGGATATGCTATATCCTCAAGTCCTCAAACTAGATATCCACCGACATAAAATCCCATCAAATCCCATTTTACACCGATGAAATCCCACCACAAATCCTATTAAATTCATATGTCTTCATTGCGATACATCGATGAACGCCCCAGGTACTGCTCGGCTTCGCCCCTGAACGACTTGTACTACATCCCCGAGGGTCGTGGCACAGTGACGTTGGCTCAGTTGGTGGCTCGCAGTGGCTCGCAGTCAATCAATGATTTGAGGTACCGATTTATTGGAGGTACCTAGCATAGAAAAAGGCCTATGTAAGGGCTATGCAAGGGACTATCCCTACCAAATATGGCCTTACATGGTAAAGTCCCTTCATTTTAGGGTTCTGAAGTTCCTACTGAGCTAACCCCGGATAAACCACCAATTTATGAATATGGGGGGCCCTTTATAGATGGTCCGCAATTAGTACACATCCGGGGTAAATTCCTCCGGGGTGATAGTAGGGAGGTCATAACTATACTGGTGATATCAGGGAAATAGAATGGGGATAGAATTCGGATATCATGATATCATCTTTAAACTGATTGGTAGTTTTGAACCTGAATTTTATGATTTTCCATATGCTGGGAATAATTATCCCAACTGACGAACTCATATTTTTCAGAGGGGTAGGTATACCACCAACCAGTAAATGTATAATGGGAATATACTGGTGATATACCCTATGAATTTTAAACATCTAAAGAATCTGCAAATGAACAAACAAGTTGGTGAATCTTTCTTTGGCGCTACGGATCCCTACGGATCCCTGTGTCACGCGTTGCCTGAACCACGCGGGGGAAATCATGTGGCTGTCGCTCAGATCTCATCACTTGAACCACCTAGGATGCTCTACTACCAGTTTGCATCCTACACAGAATACATCAAAATACACGCACGATCGCGTGCTTACCCGAACAGAAGACCTGGAGCGGAGCCTTTATTCATGCCGCTTGAACATTCCCAGCAAGTCCTTCGCATGCAAGCTGCGATCAATGATCGATTAGAGGCCCGCATTCAGATGCTCGAACAGACATTGGCGCAGCTTCAGCTTCTACCTGCTGCAAATACCCACGACCTGTGGGTGGAAGAGGAATCGCTTGCCGAGCAGCCCGAAGGAGAAGCCGATCCAGAAGGTGCTGTATCCCAGCTTGAACCCGTTTGCGACCATTTTGAACTGGTTGCTGCGGACGTGGATGGAACAGATCCTTTTGCCTTCCTCAGAGATTCATTTGCTCAATGGAGAACCAGGCTTCGCATATATCCCAGATGCTCCATGCATGGAATATTTACCTACATTTGGGCAATTTTTGGGGTAAATGTAGGTAAATATTCCAGCACCAGGCTGAAGATAGTTTCACTGTTAAAAAAAGAAGAGGTTGTAATTCAATGTTGATAAAATGATGGACATGTATGGACATGCTTATAAGAAAGTACCCCAATTCATTGGCACGGAAAATAGGAGTTTGTTCAATGTCTTCTTTCACTAGAGATTTTATACATACTGTACTAGGGACCGGCCCAATCCTGCTAACGAAAGCATGACACCTTATCTCGCATCCGTTGCCAAGATTGGGAAAGGAGGTGATGCCATGTACTATTCGATTTTTTCAGTTTCCAAGGCTCAAAAACCAAAATCTACTGGGATGAACCTGAAAACATTGGCAACTGGTTGCCTCTAGGCCGTAGCGATTGAAATCTGATAACGCCAATACAGTGATGGCCCAACTAACAGTTACCCTCTGGTAAACATACAAAAAGCTATTGAAAATTGCCATTTATAGTGGATGTTCCCATTAAAAATGGTGATTTTCCATAGTTATATTACTTTACCAGAGGGTATATATGGGATTATGTCATGATATATAACCTCAGTTGTAGGAGTTATAATCCCATTTATAGCTGTTAGTTGGGCCATCACTGTAATCCAATTTGTTTGTTTCTAGGGCCTCCTGGGTCTGTCGTCTTTTGGCATTGTTTTACCCACATTATGTGGTTTTCCCCAAAAACAAATCGAAATATGGCTGAACTATTCACTATTATGGCTATGAGTCAAAACCCGGGGGTACCTTTGGTACCCGAAAATAGATGGTTTATGGATATTTATTCCCCTAGTCATATTGTAATAATAGATATAACAGGTTTTGGCCCCACATACCCTCTGGTAAACTAACATAACTATGGAAAATCACCATTTTTAATGGGTAAATCAACTATAAATCACAACTTTCAATAGCTATGTTTGTTTACCAGAGGGTATATTTGATCGTGTTTCACTTTCTACATTTATTCAACTAATCTATCAAACGTTTCCCCCAAAAAGATCGACAGATTGGAACCGTTCCCTACTATGGCTAGATATCTTTGATACCCTCTGATCAACTAACCATAGGAAAACCATAGGAAAATGGTGGTTTAAAGAGTTTTTATGGTGGTTTAATGGGATTTAATGGGACTTACCTTCTGATCAACGAACATTTTGTGAACTGGAAAATCACCATGCTTCATGGGTAAATCAACTATTTCTATGGCCATTTCCAATAGCAAACTGTAAACGTTTACCAGAGGGTAACCACCGTACGCGGATTGATGCCCGCCAGCAACCCTTGCCGACTGGCGTGCTGATTCCCTGTGTGGGAGCACCTACCTCGTCGGGGCCCTGGTGTGGGGTGGAGATTGAACCACAAAATATGAGGGTTTCCTAAAATAGGGGTACCCCTAAATCATCCATATGAGGGTTTCCTAAAATAGGGGTACCCCTAAATCATCCATATGAGGGTTTCCTAAAATAGGGGTACCCCTAAATCATCCATATGAGGGTTTCCTAAAATAGGGGTACCCCTAAATCATCCATATGAGGGTTTCCTGAAATAGGGGTACCCCTAAATCATCCATATGAGGGGTTCCTAAAATAGGGGTACCCCTAAATCATCCATATGAGGGTTTCCTAAAATAGGGGTACCCCTAAATCATCCATTTTAATTGGATTTTCCATTATAAACAATCCATTTGCGAGTATCCACCATTTTAGGACACTCCCATATGGGTTTAACCGGCAAAGTATTGTCGATATAATGGGTATAGTCATGGTCATTGTTGATCTGTCATGTGGAGAACCATGGTGGTGTTCCATAGCAAACTCTTGGATTACCGGAGCCGGAGGATTTTTTTTATTTTTATCTAAAAGAAATGTGGATTTCGGTGGATTTTCTCTGGAAAAATCTGTATCTATAAGCAAATGGTCGTAGTTCCCACATCAGGAATAAGCCCCCGAAACGGTATGGACTCCCCAACTACTTACCATTTGCAATTAAGTCGATTAGTCATATCGTTGCTACATTTTTGGTTCAGACTCTATTCCTACTACCACCCCGCCCCAAAAAAATGCCTTAAAACGGAAGACCAGACTTTTGTGGGTCCAAATAGGTATCCAAATGTTGAGCGTGTCCAAAGAAAAAGTATACCTCAAATTTGCAATTCACATGAAACACCATCAGACAAACGCTTATGAGCAGTGTCAAACTCCTTTTGGAAAATTTCCTTCAATGGTTGGGTAGTGGGAATTCCTTGTTCAAGGCCAGCATATCTTCATAAAAATCACGAAGCAATACAAAAGCATTGTAAATCATTTAAACATCAGGATAAATCATGGTTAATCCTCTAGAAAACATGCAATTTTTCCATGGAATTTTCATCGGTTCCAGCCGCTCGAAGGGTGGATGAGCTCACCTTCAATCGCGCCAAACTGTCCACCACAGGACGTCTCTTGAGGCCATCTGCCAGGGCTCGAAGTGTGAAAATTTACCGGCGGCTAATGTGTAGCTTTCTATATTGTGTATGTATATATATATGTGTGTGTGTCTATATACATATATGTCTATATATATATATATATGTATGTATACATGCATGTTTGGATATATATATATATATGTAAGCGGAATAGGTATGCAAACAGGATTGGAAATGATGCATTTATGCATGGAACCTCGAACACCCAGAAATAAATCAGTGTTTTGTTCTGGTAGTGAAGATTCCCTTAATAACGCATGTTTGTGAAACGACGTTTGTTTTATGGATCTTTGGGTTTCCAAGTGGATATGTGTAACTTTATTATGTTATCTAATTGCCAAAGTGAATGAGCAGAAGGGATGTTCAACAGATTATATTTTGGTCACCCATCACTAGATATTCCTGGCTTGCTCGGAGTTTGGTGGAGCCTAGTTCTGAAGTTGCCCCTCGTGTCGGAGAGTCACGCCAGCTGCTGCGTGTGTTTTTCCCCGATTCTTGTTGTGAATGGGTCACTTTCATGGCTATTTTGTTCAAGCTTAGAACATCCTTGATGTGGCACATGAAACCATGCGTAAGCCTTATCGATAAATCTGTTCCATGTGCATGTCTTCATCAATCAGCATGACAACAATGGCCTGCTAGCTAGAACAAGCTCATGAAACTGCCAACGACTGAACATTCATGCCCAGATGTTATTCACTCTGGGATTTTTCTGAACTGCAGCTAGAAGTATCAGCTTTAAAAAGGTACCATCCATGGCACCATGGCCACAAGCGCTACGCCGCTACGGTGTCTTGCTGCTGCTGTCCTACGGCCTGCCCCGCGCGTTCTTCGCCTCCGGAGCCTGGCGTTCGGCCCTGCCGGAGGATGGGCGGAGTGCAACGGAGGTGGTGCGATTGCAGCTGACAGCCCTGCAGGAAAACAACCCCGAGACCCGGCGGAGGAGAACCGGAACTCCGGATGATCCGAAGAAATGTTTGATACAGGATGGGGCCCGCGTTAGCGTTCAGTTGCCTGAAAAAAGTGGCTGAACTCCAGGTTTATGGTAGATATTAACGAACTAGTATTCATGGGGGTTATAAAGGCAACATTCACACACTCTGGTAATTTAACATAGCTATTGAAAAATGGTGATTTGTAGTGGATTTACCCATTGAACATGGTCATTTTCAATAGCTATGTTAGTTTACCAGAGGGTAACTGGGGGGCACCATCCTGAAGGGTAATATTCTTAGGATGGGTGGCCCAGGAAAACGACGATGGGATTGCCAAGACCTTCGACTTCGCGTCCACCCGAAACAAAGCGGTGACGGGACCCCTACCCCGATTCGCTCACATGATCCATGCAGGTTACCTGGTGATTTCATGATATCTCATGGGGGTAAACCATGAAAAAGGGTGATAGAACTACTTTTGCATTTGATATTTGATGGGATTTTATGGAAAAACTAGAAGAATGTATACTGTACACCTGGATTTGCTTGCTGAGTCAATCATTTTGGGCATATTTTCCCATTGAGATGTCCACTACGACTTGGGAATCCTTTTTGGGGAACCTGTTCCATTTTTGGACGGTTCCTTAAGCATATCCAAGGTTATCCTGTGCTCTTGAATGCTCAAAACTTCACGTTGCTCTCAGCACTGCAGCTGGGTCCAACGGAGTATGCAGTGCGAGTTGAAATCCTTGGAAATCTGCGGATGGGCAGTCAGAAAGGCATCTCGCTTGGCTTTCAGAATGCAATGACTGGTTGGTGGTTTCAAACATTTTTTATGTTCCATAATATATGGGACAATCCTTCCCATTGACTAATATTTTTCAAGATTGTTAAAACCACCAAGCAGATGATTACTTACTTTTTGGTAATTTTCACCCGAAAAAGGATTGACGGTTTATGATAACCATGGTAAATTTGAAAAAGTACCCTCATGTACTTTGAATGTTAGTAAAGCAATACTAAAAACCACCCAAAAAAGGATTGACGGTTTATGACATGGTAAATTTGGCGGTGGTTTACCATTGCTAAAAACGCACAAAAAAATGTTTTTTGTTTCCAGCCCCCAAAAGAGAAAAAATGATCCCTGAAATAAAATTGGACGGACTCCCAGCCATGGCTTTGAGGGTAGATCAAGGATTTTTTTGCATGTCTTCCCTGAAAGCTTGCCAGAATGAATCAATCTGGGTAAGCCTGGATAAGTGAATGCATGGGTTTCCAAGTTATTCCTGGGTAATGTGCTAAGCCAATAATAAACCTACCTTTAAGGATAGTTTGTACAACCCATGTATGGTACATGTGGGGATGGTCATTTTCATGGGGCTTACGACATGATCAAAGATTGGCAATGCAAATGGCTTTGTCTGAAAATGGCTGAAGTTTTTTCAGGGAAACGCAAAAAATCCCCATGATGACTCCAGTGGTGATTCTTAAATCACCATTCTTGATGGTTAAACCAGGTTAAACCAGGCGAAACCACCATTCTCTAAGATGGGCAACGGGCAATGCACATCTAGGCATCTTTGTTTGGCAGCTCTCAAACTCTGGCGATGGAACTGGCTGGCGGACGGATGCCGTGATGCCTGACGAGTCTGCCTGAGCCACAAAGAGAGCCGAGCTGTTGGGCGGTGGTGGGCTCTGTAAGACATGATATTTGTGGATTGAGGTCTGTGGATGGGTCAAAATTAAAGGGGGACAGCAGATTCTTGAACCCATACCCCAATTAGGATATGACTTAAGTATATATAAGTGATATTCTTTAAATTGATGATTGGTTGATGATTAGTTAGGGGATCTAACAGGCATTCTACCCATCAAAATATGGAGATATACATAGATGTAATATCCAATATGGGATTAATTCCTGGTTTATACAATCCAAAAGAAATAGAGCTCATAGAGTAAACCAATGTTACTGATTTCTACAATTGCAATACAGGATAATCAGTTCAGAACCCTTGTTGGTTGATAATTAGTTCGGGGTTTATGCTATCCAATTGGGAGTATTATAATCCATTTGGGGAATCGCTATTGACTAACCAGTACGGTGGAATGGCGGAGAGCTTTGAACACTGCTCAATTGCGGGAAGTTGTAGTTTACCCATGAATTGGGTGGTCATCAATCCATTCAATTCGGGATTAGATTGACGCAGGATGTGATTTCCCTTCCCCCGTTCATATTCACCAGCCCATTAAACCATGGTGGATGTAGGGGATGATTCACCACATCTAACTGGGACCACAACGAGGCTGTCTAATGTACTCCGGGATGGGATTACGAACAAAAGGATGAGTTCTCAGCAAAAGGATGTGGCTTCAGGTTCAAGCACCAAAAGAAAGGGGATATGACCAAGAATAGTGGCTATGAGCCATGAACAACAGAGCCTATGGGGTCGATGATCAGGAAAATGTCACATCCAACTGGATCCTGACAGATATATCAAGCGTAATTATTAGTGTTTTCCCCCCAGGTTCATAGCTACATCAATGTCCTTTTTCCACTGATTGGTTGATTAGAGAGGGAGACAGCATGTAGGTAATTATATCATCCTTCGTATGGCAGTCCAACGTATGGGTGGAGAAAACTAGGCCCAAAACCCCAACAAAATAGTCATTGGATTGGTTTAAGGGAAAATAACCATCGATTTTCCCATTCAACATGGGGCTTTCCTGTAAATTTTCCCTTCAACCAATCCAATGAAATAGAGGTTTGCTTTGTAATTGTAGTGGTTTGCACCCCAATAAACCCATTGGGTTGACTATATCATACAATGTGGCAAACCCAATAGTAAACCGTGTAAACCATCCCCAATATAGGTTTATGAAATTTGGTATTTGAGATCATGTTTATCGTGACCCCCAGTCATGATTGTTTACCACAAAATATCATATACCCCAGGATCGACTCACATAGATGTGGAAAATCAAGCATTTGTAGATGATTTTCCGATCTGGAAACCATTGCTCTTCCACATCTACGTAACCGTTTGCCCTATGTTAACTCCCCATATTTCGTTGGTTAATGCATGCAAATACGTTGGATTGTATGTTATATATAATGTTATATATATATATATGGTTGGTGGTTTGGAACATTTTTTATTTTCCATTTGGGATAATCCTTCCCATTGACGAACTCATATTTTTCAGAGGGGTAGGTCAACCACCAACCAGTATATACACATACATATATATATAATGTTATATATAATGGATTGTATGTTATATATAATAGATAATGTTATTTATAATTCATGCAAATATGTTGGATTGTATGTTATATATAATGTAATATATATGTATACACATACACATATATGGTGAAACATCATGATAGAATGGTTGCCCTTCAGTAATCAGTCGCAGTAATCAGTCACATGGCTTCCTGGAAAATCTCATATATCCCATCACGTCCCATCAGGTATCATATATCTGGGTAAATTATAACGACCTCACTGCGACCTCACTGGAATAATGATTAGTAAGGGGAATCATCCCCAAGATAGCCTTATTTCAGGTTAGTGAATTGTTATAATTTGCCCAGATATTTATCATATATCCCATCTAAACTATCCATTCTTCCTAGTATAGTTGCTTTGTATCCCATATATCTGCTATCTATTATACAGGATGGGGCCCCCGTTCGATAGCGTTCAGTTGCCTGAAAAAAGTGGCTGAATTCTATGTTTTATAGTAGATACCGGTATAACTATAGTTTATGGGGTTTATAAACCAACATTCACATCCTGAGGGGCACCATCCTGTAATCATAGAATATCCCCTCATTCGCCAGGCAAACCTTCTACGGCTTTCAAGTGCAAGTGACCAATGCGGCCAGCTACCTTCGCACCCAGCTCAACGCTTGGTCCGGCGTCCTGGTCCGATGTATGATATTTCTTTTACATCTACAGGATGGGGCCCCCGTTCGATAGCGTTCAGTTGCCTTATAAGTGGCTGAATTCTATGGTTTATGGCAGATATAGCTATACTTCATGAAGGTTATAATGGTTTATAAACCAAATTATAACTGGGGGGCCCCATCCTGTAGATTAGGGGGGTTCTTAAGATGATAAATATTCCCAAGACCATGGGTTGTTATATCTAGGTAATAGGAGATTTGATCTGATAATTGCCCAATATATTTCCAGATTTTATGTCCTGGTCTTGTTTATTTCTTTCCTAGTCCTAATCATTTAAGGGGGTTCTTAACCTGATATATCTCATTAGATTGGTTTAAGGGAAAATCTTAACCGCAAACCATGGTTTTTACCATTAAATATGGGGGCGTCCTGTAAATCAGCCGCCATTTTTGAGGTACTCTGTGCAACTCATAGTTTGCGAACTGCAAAAAACACCATTTTTTGGGTAAATCACCTATGAGTTCCCACAGCTACTACCAGAGGGTATATAGATACATATGGATGCAATATAAACAAATATATACCTACATGTATGTATGATTGATTTCATGTTGACTCCATCCTACTGCAACATCAGCACACTTACGGTCGCACCTGCCGCATGAAATTCACAGATCATCCCAGCTGCGATTCCAAGCTGAGTGATCCCCGATGTTCCGCCAGATTTCGGAGGATGCATCGTCCTGAATTTTCCATTCTGTATACGTACAATATATAATATATAATTATATATATATAATTTTATTTATATATACATATATATATATATGTAATTATATATCAATATATATATATGTAGTTATATAATTATATTTATATATCTGTAATTTCATAATTAAATAAATATATATATTATGTAATTATATATTTATGCATAAATACTATTATATTATATATATAATGTAATTATATATAAATATAATGTAATTATATATATATATATATAATGTAATTATATATATATATATATTTATTTATTAATGTCTATATATAATGTAATTCTATATGTATGTATGTAATTGCCTGGTTAAACCACGATTTGTAGCTGTACATTCTCCAGGTGTTTTCGGCCCTGAGGCGCTTGTGGACCTATGTGAAGGCCACAGGCAACGGCGTGGATGGCAGCTACGAAACCGCCCGGGTCAACGAGCGAGTGGCTCGGATGATCTACCTGGGGATGTCTACTTTAATAGGAAAACCATAGAAAAACCATAGGAAAATGGTGGTTTAAAGACTTTTTATTGTGGTTTAATGGGATTTAATGGTATTTACCCTCTGGTAAATTAACATAACAATGGAAATAAGTGGGTTAATAGTGGTTAAATAGCCCATTATATACAGTACTAAGAATAACGGTTTAATGGTGGTTACCCTCTAGTAATTTGTTACATAGCTATGGAAGCCATGGCCCATAGAAATAGTTGATTTACCCAGCTATAAAATGGTGATTTTCCATAGTTTTCTGTATGTTTACCAGAGGGTAACTGGGGATGTCGCCAAAAAACAGTAGTGTACCCCTTGGGGCATTTTTGAGGAAAAGAATGGTTTGTTACTCTGGACAATGGATGAAAATGGATGAAAATTGTATTTTTATTAGTTAAACAAACCATTTCGGTACTCTCTGGGAATTAGTTAGCTATGGAAAATGGATGAAAATGGAGGTTGTTTATAGATTGCTGACCACTGTTGACCTATTGAAAATGATGATTGGGCCCAGTTCGGTATGTTAAAATTACCAGGGGGTAAATAGGCAACCACTTGTTTGAAGAAAAATGGTGATCGCCAATCTGCTGCCCTTGTATCTTGTATGTGGCATCCAAGTTGCTTGTGGCCGATGGCAGTTGATGAGAGTTCGTGGAGATCCCTGGTGTGGCATGTTGATGTTCCCTCCCAAAAATTGGGATGATGATCCAGGATCCACGCTGATCCCAATCGATGTTTATAGTTGTTGTTGTTGTTTTTTCGGGGGATGTGTTGATGTGTTGCCCACAACCGAAAGGATAGCTTAAATGGATTGAAAGTCTTGACCTAGAGCATCATAGAACTAATGTCATGGGATTCAACCACACCCGAGCCGGTGACCCCTCCAAATGATACCATCTGGTTATTTGACATAGCCATGGAAAATCATCATTTTTAATAGGTAAACCATCTATTTCTATGGGCCATCTATACCATGGCTATGTTAAATAACCAAATGATAGCTGGTTATGTCATAAACCAGTCTTATTGGTTGCTGGTGGTCAAGATTCGCCCATAACAGACCCAACAGACATCACCAGTGTGTCACGTTTGGGCGGGCTAAATGTCCTGGGCGGTCTGAAGAGGATGGGTCAAAAAAAAAGCGCAGCTGCTTTGGTAGTATACCTAATCTCTATATATATATAATATTATATAATTATATATGATTATATGTGTGTACGTATACATATTATATTATATTCCCAGTGCATCCCCAGTACAACACCCTGACACTTCCGCACGAGGTCCCTGCCGGGCCAGACACCTCTTGGGGAATGTATCGCCAGAGCATGGCAGCAGCGTCGGGGAGCCCAGGATCCCCGCGCGTTGCGCGGTTGGGTTTTGGTCATTGTGCGTGGGAAATGACCCCGGAAACCTCTGGAAATCTGGATATTTAACAGATCGCCATGGTATAGATGGCCCATAGAAATAATTGATTTACCTATTCAAAATAGTGATTTTCTATAGTTATTATGTGTGTTTACCAGAGGGTAAATGATACAAATGGTGATGAATGGTAATGGTAAATGGTGTTTGAATCACCAGGAACCCAACAAATGAGCCATCAAATTGATGTTTCCCAAAATGGGGGTACTACCCAAAATGATTGGTTTAGCAAAATCCCAAAGAAAAATGGATGATTTAGGGGTACCCCCCCATTTTAGGAAACCTCCATGTGAAGTCAATTTCATCTATAATATCCTGGTGTCACACTTTTTGGCATCATTTTTCTTGGGGGTTGCGACGGTATTTCTTCCAGGAGCTGGCCGCAGCTGGAGGTGACACAGTATTGTTTCACTGTCGAGATACCGAAAACACAAAAATTGTCGTGTTGTTGGGTTTCATGTTTGTTCATGTGTGTTATCAAGGTTGAATGCACTTCATCTTCGTTCATCTTCATGCGATATCAGCGATCCTCCAAGTGGTGAAGGAAAAGCACCAGGAATTCCGATGCAACTGAAGGATCTGGCATGCAACATCGCTAAGAACACAAATCTGTATTTCAAACATCAAAAATAGAGATTTCCGAAAAAAAATAGTTGGTACCCCCAAATCATCCCAAATTCTGGCTTTTTAGTATTGAAACCCATGGTCTTGGTTCACTTCCATTTTAGGAAACCCCCAAATCTTGCATCCTGACATCATCTTCCATCCTCCCGGCTGGTTTTAAACCCAGTTGCAGCCAAGTCACTGTATGCCGCATGCATGACCTTGAAAAGAATGGCCTGAGGTGAATCCACTTCATGTTTTTTTTTAAGGATCTGACAAGGACCTAACGTTAAATGAAGTTATGATATGTTATGATGTATTGCCCTCCGGTGTCATCAAACCATGAATTTTGCTGGAAAATCCCACCATTCCTGGATGATGTTCCCATTGAAAGTTCCATTGAGTTCTGGGTTCTGCTTGGGGATGTCCCATGGCCATATTTGATTACCAGAGGGTAGGTACCCTCTGGTAAACTAACATAACTATGGGAAATCACAATTCTGAATGGGTAAATCAACTATAAATGGCCATTTTCAATAGCTATGTTTGTTTACCAGAGGGTATTCTTAGTAGGGAATTTTCGGGAGGATCCACTGGCTAATTATCAATAATAATCCCAGCAACTCCCAGCAACTCCCAGCAACCCATCCATTCCCTACGTTTAGCACCAGTAAGTATTGGCTTTGCTACTTACAAAACCAGGTTTACCATCTGGTTATTTAACATAGCCATGGAAAATCACCATTTTTTATAGGTAAACCATCTATTTCTATGGGCCATTTTCCATGGCTATGTTAAATAACCAGAGGGTACCGAAGTCAACTTCCACAAAACCAAGTTTGGGTGGATGAAAACGCCAAGCTTAGCGTGGCAGTTTTAAAAAAATCTGCTGTAGGTTTTACGGACTACCACATGAATATTAAGCGGAAAAACAAGACCTATCTGGATTTCTTGTAAGGTGTTATTTCAGTCAATCTACTTCTTGTAGCCATCAGATTATATAAAATTGTATGTGTTTAAGTTCATTATTATTTTGGTTGGTGGTTTCAAACATGTTTTATTGTCCATTTCATATATGGGATAGTATGTGTCCCATTGACTCATATTTTTCAGAGGGGTTGAAACCACCAACCAGTATTATTTACCCTCTGGTAAACTATTATAACTATGGAAAATCACCATGTTTAATGGCTAAATCAACTATTTCTATGGCCATTTTCAATAGTTTTTTTGTGTGTTTACCAGAGGGTATTGCTTAGATGTGATTGGCTGTCCCTGAGGAACTTCGGGGTGTCCTTCTCCACATCACGACCCACCACGGGTTCAGTCGAAGCCCAAGGATCATCCCACAGATCGTCAACATGGTTTACATATGTTTACATAGTTTTTGCATCGAAAATGGATTATTTTAATGGGATATTCATGGGATATGTATACTATACTTATAATATATATATATATATTCACGACATGGTTGTAGCATTGCTTCAAGGGATGCTTTATGATTAATCGATTAATGGGATGTCATGGAAGATTTCATGGGATAGTTCATATATACTGACGAACTTCATCGATGAAAATACGGATTCTGATCAATGTGGGGCCCACCCTAGATAGCTGGCTATGTTGGTATTCACAGTTCACCAAAAAAACAGAAGTGTTGCTGTATGTAATATATGGTGAAATTAGGCCTAGTGATCATGGGTCCCCGTTACATGGGTCCCCGTTTCGAGGGGGTATCCCATTTATAAGTGGGTGAACTAAGTATGGTTGCTTCTACCACTTGCGATTGGTGGGATGGTCCTCCAAGTATCTTCCTGTTGTTCTACAGGGTTTCTCCAAACCATTATATATAGGGGAATCATAGCTACAAGGTTGGAAAACATTTCATGGTGCCTCTCTATCTACCCATTTTCCATGATTTTCCCCTCTTGCATTTGGGGTGAACAGGGAGCAACTCTGTTTCGCATAGCTATGGAAAATCGCCATGTTCAATAGGTAAGTCATCTATCGACAGGGCATTTTCCATAGCTATGTCACATGAACTTACTGTAACCGGTTGGTAGGTTTCATTCAACAAACATGGACATTTGATCATCATTTCTCCATCCAAAATAGGGACTTCATGTAGAGCCAATGATGCTCTATGATGATCTGCGTGGTTTCAGCCATATCAAATGGCTTGAGGTGAAACTGCAACCACCAACCAGACAAAGACCAGGTATTTTAAGGAACCATGAGTGCACAGTAGGGTACTAAACAGGTCCCCCCGGTTTTTGAAATGCACATATATATATATATATATTGTGGTTTCTGATATTTCTGTTGGAGAGTCCAAAATGATTGATGTTAGAAAGTTGCTGATCTTCAGAATGTTGAGGACTCTAGATTTAAACACACAGTTAGCACCTAGAATTTACTGAATCATTCACTAAGTACCCATTTAGTAAGTGCAAGTCATGATTCACTTCCTAGAATTGAAGGGTTCGATGCTGCTGCTGGACCCACTTCGTTGGGATCATTGGGGAAGCGGATATCCTATGGGGACACAGATTGCTAGCTGCTAGCTGCTGGGAATCAAGACATGCAGAAAACGAACTGGAAAATATCATTTTTAATGGGAAAATTCACTATAAATGGCCATTTTCAATAGCTATGTTAGTTTACCAGAGTGTATATTAAAACAAAAATGCTTGAAGCCTTTCATTTTGCTGTACAAAAACTTCCGTAGGGTAGATTGTAGAGCGCTCAAGTATACACATATTGTTGATTGCATTTCAGGTTTAATTGGGCAGATCGCATTTCCTTGTTAAGCAGATATCCCCACTTCCAATCCATTACCTTTTGCTACTCGTCTCCGAACCTCATGGGATTCACTCATCCAGGTGAAGTAGATCACCGTTTATAGATAAGCCATATGTGAACCATGGTAGATGTATCTATACTTAATGGGGTTTATAAACTATGGTTTATGGTAGATGTATCTATAGTCTATAGTATTCATGGATAATATATAATACTTATGGTATGTGATATATGATGGTTTATGGTAGACCCATATTAGCTCACCATGGTGCTGGTATCTAAAAACCTACATGTCACTGGGTGATTTTGGGGGGCAAATGTTGGGATTCATCTTCCAGCACCATGGTGAGCTAATATGGCTAATGGGTTCAGGGAATCCAAGTTCTCCCAACAAAAATTACTGGTTCGTTTTACGTAGGGTTGCTGGATGGGCTGCTGGGGGTTGATGGGATGATTATTATTAGTGATGGATGGGATAATTCCCGAGAATTCCCTTCGTTTAGCACCAGTAAGAAAACCTGGCCTTATTTTTTCCAATGTGAAATCCACCGATCTTCGGTTTTTTTTTTGGAAATTGTTTTTTGTTTTTTGGGGGGTTCCGAATCAGCAAATCTCCTGACATAGCTTTGGAACATGGCCAACTATAGTTGATCTACCTACATAAAGGGGAAATTTTCCAGTTCGCAAACTGTTAGTTTACCGGAGGGTACCAGCTTCAAACCCGACGTGCCCAGGTGCCACCTGCTGACATTACGGTCTTGCCCATCATCGCAAGCTTTCCCACCACTCAGGCCGCTACTAAGAATGGACGAATCCCACGGTTTTTTTTTGCTTAAAATTCCAATGTTTCAGTGGATAAATCAGCAACAAACCAATGAGTCCCAAGTCTTTTGCCCATCATATCTCCAATAGATATCCGTGGATCTCAATGATTCCTATTACCAGACATATAATATATATATACATATATATATATATACATATATATATATATACATATATATATATACATATATATATATATACATATATATACATATAATCATATATATATATTTGTAAATGATTATATGTAGATCTCAGGCTATCCATGGCATCTCATGCTTTCCGTTCCGTCGTTCAATTGTGCAGGCTATTCGAGTTACGGCCCCTGCTGGCTATGAGTGGGATTTTGAGCAGGTGGACTTCAGGCTCGCGGCTTGGTTCAGTTGGTGTATATCAATGGATTGGTTTAAGGGAAAATTGAAACCGGAAAGCCCCACATTTAATGGGGAAATCTATGGGTTCCGGTTAAGATTTTCCCTTAAACCAATCCATTGATGTATAACCATGGGAATTTTTACCCCCATAAGTTGCGATAGAACCCCTACAATGCGGGGGGTTCGCAGTTATTTTTGTTGGTTTAAAAGCCCATGAATACTATAGTTATATATATATCATAAACCATAGTTATTGGAGTTATGTTCAGCAAATTAGCTATCTGGGGGCCGAACTGGCATGTTCGATCGAATTGTCAGTATCCACTAGCAGAATTCATGGATAATGATAATTGCTGGGAGTTGTGGTTGGCATTTAGCTTCCTAACTTTGTCCATTGTCCAACATGTATATTAAAGGGCTGTATCGTCTTTGGAGCGGTTTTCTTTAAAAAATGAATAACAAATTGATGATTCCACTCACCAACGTCAATCTACCCAGAAACTTCGTGATGGTCACCACGCTATTTTTAGGGACAGCATGGGATAACTCACCGCATCTCATGTCTGGGATAATCCAAGGTCGTATTTTCGCATTTGTAAGTGGACTACATATCAGGTGATATCAATTCATTTTTCTCAGCATTTCCATGTATTTCCTAGTTCTTTGGAAGGCTTCCGACGTCCGTGTGGTCTTACAAGCCAGTGAAGCCAAATTCGAAAGCATTCGAAAGCCTCAGTTTACCACATGGTAAAATTCCTTGGAGGATTATTCCAGTTATGCAACCATGATGATTTATTAATTTGGGGGTTCCTAAAATACGGGTACTTCCAATCATCCAAGTCATGGATGACCATGACGTAGTATTGAAACAACCATGGTGACTTGGGGTACCCCCCCTTATCCCAAGTTATAATTTGGTTTATAACCCACATGAATACTATAGACTATATAGTTGTAAAATGTTATAAGTATCATAAACATGCATAAACCATAGTGACATTGGAGATAGTTACCCTCTGGTAAACGTTTACATAACTATGGCAAATCACCATTTTGTAGCTGGGTAAATCCACTGTAAATCACCATTTTCCATAGCTTTTTGTAAGTTTACCAGAGGATAACCTGTAGAAGTTGGGTGATCGTTTGCCCCGCAGGTACCAGGCTCCCGGTGTCGGTGTGAACCCGCTGAATGTGGTGGAAGGGGCAGAGGCCGGCACCTTTCCGAAGCGGAAAAGGGGCCGGGGTTGACACGGTTGACAGGTACTGGTTGGTGGTTTCAAACAGTGGGATAACCAGTGAATTTTCATTTTCCATAGTGGGATAACCATCAAATACATTGGTATTAATGAATTTTATTTTCCATAATATGTGGGATAATGCTTCCCATTGACTCATTGACTTTCATGTTTTTCAAGATGGTTATTGCACCACCAACCAGGGTACTTCTTCAGCATACCTGGATATTATTTTGTGACGGACAACCACTTAGAACATCACTTGGAACACGCAGTTCCCAAATGTTGCAGGAAAACAAACACCACTTAGATATTAGATGTTCTAAGTGTATGTGATTTTTCATTTGGATGTTTTTTGATGTTCTAAGTGGTTATCCGTAACATGCCATAACTTTAAATTATTATATTCATGGATGTTAGTGGATACTAATGGATGATTACCAACAGGTATATCTATAGTTGGATGGTATCGATATAACATGAGCACCGGTTGCAACCTACCCTGGTTGATGACTAGTTCGGGGATTATCAGAATCCAGTGGCAGGTACCGTCTGGTAATTTAACGTAGCTATTGAAAATGGTCATAGAAATAGTTGATTTACCCAGCTATAAAATGGTGATTTTCCATACTTATGTTAGTTTACCAGAGGGTACATGTTTAGATGCTCAAATGAACAATGGCTAAGATCAAGTGTAGTATCTGTACAATTTGAGCATCCAAACATGTACCTGCCACTGGGGGCATGTTGGATCAAGATTACAGAAAAGTGCCCTCAGCATTTGCGAGATGGGAACTGATATTCACCAACCAGTTCTGATGGAATGACAGAGGGTTGTGACTGCTAACTCACTTAGTTCTTATATAAGCTATAAGCTATGGGGTTATGTCCCAACTTATTCCCACTATATAATAGCCACAACTGCACCAAGAAGTATTGACCAAATGGGGCAAGCCACATTTTTTGGGGCATGAAAGACTGGGCAAAATGGGAGATTTCGGAGATGGTCGTCTTCTCAGTTGGCCAGGAGCCCCCATGATTCTTAGCGAAGCCAAGTGCCGTTTTTGTGTAGGCATTACTGGGTCAACCGACTGGTCAGATACGAGTATATACTTTAATCTTTTGCGATTTCAATGGTCTAACCAGCTGAAAATGAGATTTTTTGGGATCTATGATCCACGAAGCAATTCTAAGTGTGAAGATTCCATCTTGCTTCTGGAAAACCACACCTTTTTCAAAAATCGTACCCTCTGGTTATTTAACATAGCTATGGAAAATGGCCCATTTATAGATGATTTTCCCATTAAAACCTCCATTTATCAGGGATTTTCCATGGCTATGTCAGTCATAACCAGAGGGTATATGTTCCCACGTGTCAGCGGCAAATTTTCCAGAAATTCGAGGCGGACATTCCCATCAGCGGCAAACCTGCGCGGCCCAACTCGGAGCCCAAGAACGCACCTTGGACGTTTCGGGATCTGTTCAAGTGGAACATTTGACAGGAGGACCATCCATCTTGGTAAATTTCATCACGACCTCACTGCGACCAAACCCTGGAATCATGGTTAATTTTTGGGAAATCATCCCCTTTTATGGCCTTATTTCAGGTTAGTGAAATATTATAATTTACCCAGATCCATCTATTATTCAATATATGGAGGTTTCCTAAAATGGGGTATATACCCCTTAAAAATGGATGGTTCATGACGGAAGATCCGAAAATAAATATGGATGATGTGGAGGTACCCCTATGACTTAGGAAACCCCCATATGTTTCATATTGAAATGGATGAGTATAGTGAGTAAAATCGGGATCATCCAGTAACATCAGTCAGGAAAATGAGGATCATCCATTTGGTTATGGGTCAAAACATGTCAAAACCCTGGTAGCCTAGCCTAAGGCCCTAGGTTATTGCTGGTTAATGGATGGTTATTCCCCCAGTCATATGGTATATAATAATATGTAATAATATACAATGTGAGGCCCCCCCAGTTATAAGTTGGTTTATAAGCCCCGGTAACTATAGTTATAAGTACCATAAACATCCCCGTGGCAATTTCCACTCTAGAACTGGTGAACCTGTGCATAGTTTAAACGAAATTCTTAATGTATTGGAATTTTAAAATTGATGTCATGCTAGTCATTTTATTGTTGGGGGGTTGGGCTAAGCATTTTATTGTAAAGGTAAATCCTGATGATTTTTAACATGTTAAAATTCCATTCTCATTTTATTGCAAAAAAATGTTTGCTTGGAGCATTTTATTGCAGAATGGAACCAGTGTTTTTCCAGGATCTTTTTATATCGATGTTATTGGGCATGTCATTTTAGATCAGCGAATTTTAAGGAATTTCAAGGAATTTTAAGGAATATTAAGGAATTTTAAAGGAATTATAAGGAATATTAAGGAGTTTTAAAGGAATTATAAGGAAATTTGAGGAATTTAGAGAGTTTTAAGGAATTTTAAGGAACCTTAGAGGATTTTTAAGGAATTTAAAGGAATTTGACGGAATTTGAAGGAATTCGGAGGATTTTTAAGGATCTTTAATGTTTTTAAATTTTAAAGGATATTTAAGGTTTTTAAGGAGCTTTTTGGAAGTTTAAGGAATTTAAAGGATTTCTAAGGAATTTTAAGGAATTGCCACGAAAGAATGCCACCGTATTTTGTTGCTATAGAATGCTATTTAAAAAACACACACTAAGTATTTGGGCACCTTCACTCTAAAATACCCCTATTTAAAATGGATTTCCTGACCTCTTTTTAAAGATGCGTTTCTGAGGCTCTTCAAAATTGGATGAAATTGGATGATGTTGGATGCACATTCAAGCATGAATTTGGTGGCAAGGCATTTTATTGCAGAGCCAGTTTTCATTGTTTTTGTGCATTTTAAAGCCTGAGGCCTATGCATCAAAGTTAGACTGCTCTAAAACTCCTGCACAACTTCACATAATGAATTGGCACCCCGATCCATAAACCATAGTTATTGGAGTTATAAACCAACTTAGCTATCTTGGGGGCCTCACATTGTAGGTTTTGACCCATCCCATTGAAACTGTCTGAAAATTGGGGAAAACTCCACAAAAAAAAACGATGGATTAGAAGCTCATTTTCTGTATGAGAATGGCTATTTATGAGCATCCCCTACCATATGTCAACAGCATGGGTGGGTACAATGAGTAGATTGAGCTGGTTCCTCTGACTTCTGAACCCTGGAACCTTGGGAGAAGCAATAAAGCAGCTGATGATCACGTTGTGAAGGCATGTATTGTTTTCACACATGTCCTGCTTCTGAAAAAAGAAAGCATCACCTTCAGATGTGAATTTGATGCCCCCAACGAAAGGGGGTCCACGCAGTCGAAATCAGGCATTTCAACTTTCAACAGCTTTTGCAGCTGAGATAGTAATGGGAATATGAGTCAATATTTATATATATATATACATATGTATATGTATTTATTAGTATTAGTATTATTATCTGGTTGGTGGTTTCAAACATTGTTTATTTTCCATAATATATGGGATAATATATTTCCCATTGACTTTCATATTTTCCAAGATGGTTAAAACCACCAACCAGTTATTATATTGGAATATGATATGGGAACATACGGGATGGGATGGTAATGGCTCAACACTGCAGTTGTCTGCAGTTTCCCCTCGTTATCCGTTCAAATCAGATGGATTAAGTGGCGAAAAAAAGAATCATGCGGCAATCCATGTGATATGTTTTACTTAGTTTAGATAAACATTGGAAAAGCCAGCGATAATCAGACACATTTTTGGGGTATGGTCATTGCCACGTCATCACTCAGGTCTTGACCATGGTCGTTCCGGCGATTTGTGCAAAACGGCTTCACAGCTGAGCTGTTTAAAATACTTCGGTTCTGTTTTTTGATGGGAATGAACAGCTACCTGTTTCAGTCCGGGGTTTTTTTTCACTCACCCATTCAGCCGTTTGAATGGGAAAAAAACGTGCTATCAACATCTATCAACCAAGTAGTAGAATTGCTGGTTGGTGGTTTGGAACCATGGAATTTTATGACTTTCCATTCAGAAATGGGAATGGAATAATCATCCCAACTGACTTTCAGTCCATCATTTTTCAGAGGGCTAGGGCGAAAAACCACCAACCAGAGGGTATCCCATATAAATCACCATTAAATCCCATGAAACCCCATTAAATCACCATTAAAATCACCACTGGTGCAGTAACCACCAAGCGGCGGAGTATTTTGAATGGCTCAACTGATGCAGCTGGGTCAGCCTGGGTCATCGATCCCGTTTGGGGGCTTCAATGTGTTGTTGTCGTTTCTGAACGACCATAGGATGATCGGTTGAGATGAAGAATATGTTTTTTTTCTAGGAACAACCAATGTTTGGTTGAGATAGAACATAGTTATTGGTTTGGATATTTGGTTGAGATTAAAACAACTATATAACCAGCAATAGTTATTTTTCTAGGTCACTATGGGTCGCGAAAAGACATTGGGAATATCTCCAAAGCTGAAACCAAGAAGAATGGGCCCTCGTTTATGGGTTACCCTCTGGTAGTTTCAACCATCCTTTTGGTTTATCGGATTTCGACACCATCCACAATATCACTCCGAAAATACTAATTTATATAATTAATTCTGTAATATATTGTCTGGTTGGTGGTTTGGAATATGGCTTTTATTTGTCCATAATACATTGGGAATGTCATCAGCCCAACTGACGAAGTCCATCATTTTTGAGAGGGGTAGGTCAACCACCAACCAGTTTGCTTATCATTCCCTCTGATAATTTAACAGTTTGCTATAGAAAATCCACCCATTTTTCAGTTCGGTAAACCATCTATTTCAATGGGCCATCTATAGTCTCCCATATAAATCACCATTAAAGATTTTTTATGGCGGTTTAATGGGATGTACTGGGATTTACCCTCTGGTAAACATAGAAAACTACGGAACAAATCACCATGTGATCACTCCGAGTTTTTGTTTAAATCCCATTAAACCACCATAAACCCTCATG